TTTGAGTAACAAATGATGTGTTTGTATATGAATTGAAAAGTTGATGGAAGTGGAAGAAGGTTTAGCAGTTTAATGTAAGCTTTCATTACCATGGCAAAGGTTCAATCTCTCTTCTCCCTCCCCCTCCCCCCTCATCACTTGCCCTAATGAAAAAAAAAAGTTGATGGAAGTGATTTTTTTTTTTTAATTGAGTGGAAAAATATTATTATTATTATTTCAATAATGGGGAATTTGGGGGAAGGGGGTAATCTTATATTACAAAACAAGTGTCATACTTGCTTATTGGACCCTGACAGGCCAACATTATAATAGGTGCATTTTGCCCAACTTGCGGCTGCAAATGCAGAGTTAAAAAAATACTAATGAACAGAAATAAAAAGATATTAATAAATAAACACTTTATGAAATGATGAAATTAAAATATTTTTTTATTTAATTAATTTATTTTTCTTAATCTTTCATATTACTTTTATTTTCCCCAATTTCCCAATAATCGCCAAAAGAATTTTTCAATAATTAAAATAATTAAGAAATAATTAAAATGAAATAAAATATTTAAGAATGAAAAATTTTAAAAATGAAACTCAATGTACTAAACTTTTTTTTTTCAAAAGTTTAGGGGGCCATGCCCCTACAGATTCCTTTCTTACACGACATAACATGTTAGGATTACTAAATAAAATGTTAAGATTATTAAAAATATAAAATATTATTTTAAAATATTAATTATATTTAATTGTATCAATAAAAATAATTAATAATTAATAATTATAACTATTAATTAATAATTATTATATTTATTAATTAATAAATTAAAATTAATTAATAAGTTAATATTAAACACTGTTTTAAATTATAAAAATTAATGATTCTAACACCTTTTTTATAGTAACAATAACTACACCTCACTTAACCTTATGGTTAAGGTATAAAATGGTCAGACTGAAATGACTTCCTTTTCTCCACAAAAGTATAAGGCCATGAGTTTGGATTCCATTTCTCTTATGACTTTGTTTATGCAATACCCCACTGCGTTGAGAAATGAGAAAGGATACCCATTACCTTTTTCTTGATCGAAAATTATAAGTACAGTACTCCCATTGCTTCAATAATTGCTATTGAAGGTGTGAAAAATGCTTCAAGTTGAGCACATCAATACATTTTTGTTCCATTAATGGGAATGACTAATATTTGCTCAATTAAAGGTGTGAAAAATGCTTCAAGTTGAGCACATCAATAAATTTTTGTCCCATTAATGAGAATGACTAATATTTGCTCAATTAAAGGTGTGAAAAATGCCAACTCACTTTCAACACATTCCTTAAAAATCAGCTACTTTAATGGTACCGACCATTGATTAAAAAAAAAAGGAAAAAAAATATTTAAAGATATTAATTGATGTATTTATATTTTTATAATTGATATAATTATAATATTATATAAAATTATGAATTTATTTTAATTATTAAAAATAAATTTTAAATTATAAAAATACCCATTTACCCTTCATAAATTTTAATATATGAGAAGATTTTTGAAAAATATAACAGCATACCTCAGACTTTTTTTTGTTTAGGGTGCAAGTCACGCAAGCAAAAACCTATTTGGCTATTTTCCATGTGCCTATCACGATGACTTCAAGGCCCAAACCCAAACCACCCTAAAAGAAAAAACCGATTTTCCATGTACCTATCACCGATGACTTTATCACCCAAACTTTTTCTTATTTTTGTTTATTGTTTAAAATATTTTTAAATTAATTTATTCACACTTTAAAATTAAAAGCAATTCATTTATATCAAAATTAATAAATTTATAAAAATTTATTTTTTTCATTAATTTTTTTTAAAATTTAAATCTTAATTAACAAAATTTATACACAAGTTGATAAAACAAAAAGAGGGTAATAAAACTAATGATTTAAATAATTTAGTGATCATCTCTTTCTATTGAAAGTAAAAAATTTTAAGTTCAAATTACATGACACGTTGGTAATTTTGAGTTTAAATTACATAACATACTGATGGGGTAAGATAAAGAATGAGAGATAGTTGTCTTCCATTATACAATCAAAATTAAAAAAAAAAAAAGAAAAAGAAAAAAGAAAAAAGAAAGAGCAATAGGAAATTGAGAGGATCTGGCCGGAAAGGTAAGAAACCGGAATCAGACGCCAGGTTGGTACTCTGATCATATTAATTTGCCTGAGTTTGAATCGAATTGAAGTCATGGCTATCACAAAACGGTCGACTTTGTCACTATGGCCAAACGGACAAATATTAAGATTGCACATATGATGTTTATTTTGATTGATATTTTATTAGTATATAATTTTTTATATAATTAATTATGATATTTAAAAATATTAATTTATAAAGTTAATTTTAATATACTAAATAATAAATATAAGTTATTTTATTAATTATTAATTATTTGTTAACAATTAAATAAAATAAAAATAATATTTTTAAAATCAAAACTGTAAAATCTTAACATTTTATCATGAGGCCATAACCACACCTGAACTTTTTGGGTCTGGTTATGGCTACAGTTAAATTTATTAATTAAGGTGACATAACTTATAATGTTTTTATTTAATTTAATT